CAATAAATGTCGCAGAAGCGAGTGCAATCTTGGGAATTTAATCACAGATGCGATGGTGGATGCTGTGCGTAGAGTAACCATTTCTGAAAAGAAAGTATTTACTATAAGAAAACGAATTGAGAATTACGAGTACTAATACACTCCAAACAGACACAACAAGATCCATTAGACAGAGAAATTACTTTCCGGCTCTTGCATTTATTTTTCACAAAATTCAGAGAAATTCATCGCTAGATTATCGGTTTATTCATTTCGATTCGATGTAAATATAGAAAATGCATATTGCATGCAGAAATTATGCAGTTACGCAACATGAAATACTAATATTATTTAATATATTATACATGTACATATGTATTTATTCAAAAAAGGTAATTTGCATGTGTTTTGTATGTTTTCCACATTAGCAGAAATGCAAAAAGTCTGTAGTTTACCTATTACTAACTAATTAATTAATATTTATAACGTGCATTTGAATATGGCGTCTTTGGTCGGTTTATTTGATCGATTCGATGTTCATAATTTTCATTTTAAGAGACGTTTTCCGTTAACATTTTGATTGCATTTTTAACAAATATTGTCGTTTAAAATTTAATGAAATTCCTTGGTTATTAAATCATAGAAGATTCACAGTTTATTTTTTATCGTAGTTCGTGGAGAAGGCTGAAAATAAGACTTTCTGGACGTACGCTGCTGTTGCGTGCATGAATCCTGGAGGAATACGTTCTCCCATCGAATCCGTCGGCGAGGATGTTACTTTCGGCGATTTGATGATGGCTCAACCCTTTGAGAACACGTGGGACACGCTCGAATTGAAAGGCAGCTGTATTATGCAGGTAAAAAATATTACATACGTAATGTTCCAAAAAGTAAACCGAAGAACTGAAATGAGAAAATATCGTGTTTCATTATTTTCAAGGGATTATGAATGAACTCAGCCTGGAGCTTCAAAACATTACGTTTAATTTACTCGTATACTGAATTATTTAAAATAATTTTACTACGTAGACAAATCTCGCGAAACAATTCACTTTTCGTTTGCCCCTATTGGAGACTTCTTCTTACCAAAGTGCAGCGACTGTAACAGTCTCTAAGGCTTCTTTCGATCTCATTAAACGTCGGTAACTGCCTTTGAAATTTGCAACAATATAACCTTTGACGTGACAGTGTGGTATTCTCGGTTATTTCTTCGTTCCCTTTTCTAAAAATAAACTCAATCCAATCGAGATCAATAAAAATTTAATTTTTAACCAAATAAAATAAAATTTACACAAATGCTTTATTTCTTTATTTTCGTAGCAGTATTTCTTTGATGTAGTACTTTTCAAAAAGTTTAACTACCACTGGATTGAATAATTTTTTTTTTATTAAAAAATCATCTTAGGCCATTATTGGCTCATAGATACATGTTGGAGTACAAAAATATATAACTTATGTCTTAAGTTGTCTATATAATAACATCTCGTCCTTTATATAATTACTTACAAATTAATGTCACACTTCTTACAAAAGTCATTAATTATTTTAAATGCTTTGATATTGAAACTTTTCAGAAAGTTATTGATATTATAAGGGGAATCCACTTCAATTCTTCTAACTTCTTCAGTATCTCCTCTCTCTACTTATAATACGATTAAATAATTATTATCCATACTGTGTTGGCGCCTCCTGTTTCACCACTGGAGAGCTACCTCGCGTTTCTCACAAGTACTCGGTTCGCTTAATTTTTCTATATAAAAATTCCCGACCGACCTCCAAACTTCCCGAAGTCTATGGTTCGGGCCTGCTAGGTATTTGTATTTGTATTATTATTTATTGTGCAACATTTACGTAGTTATTAACACATTTCCTGTAACAAAATATCTTTATGTTTACATATACCTTTTTAATATTAACTACGCACGCTTATTATACCCCTTTCTTCCTAATATTGTTTATTTTATCTTTGGATTATTATTATCATTGCTGTTCTGTTTATTGTTTATCTACTTTCCCTATCCTATCCTTTTCTATTATCACATTTTTTCGCAGACTTTTATTCTAACTTTGACACATTGCTTAGTATTTAGCTTATAAAATTATGTTTGCACTTTCTAGGAACATCATGATACTTTTAAATACCTTAATTCTTTCAGTCTTAATAATTTCTTGTACATTATACCTTTTATCAATTATTATTTTCCCTATCCTATCAAACAATTCTATACGCTGGAAATTTCTTAACGAGCAATTTAACAGTACATGTTTATGGTTTCTTCGTCGAACCCGCAGACGCATGTTTTATTATCTATCAATCCTTTTCTACCTAACGATTCCTTACGATTAATATGGTTTGCCCTAATTGTAGGTATTGTTCTAATCGTTTTCCTGTCTAGTATGTTTTCAAATTTATAAAACCACGTTTTGAACTTTACTTTTTTTTTACTCTCCCAAAAGTTACTAAAATAGTAAAGTCCTTCCTGTTAGGTACCCTTATTGACGAGTCCACTAGCAGGCCCAGGACGAAACGCTCCTCCCTTCCTTTTTCTCCCCTCTCTCGCTCACCTTTCACAGAATTGGCACTACGATACTAATAAAATTACGAAAAATAATTGGATGTTTCAGATTCTAGAATTGAACGGAATTCTGGTATGGTCTGGATTGAAAGTGACTTACAACATGACAGGAGATACCAGAATTGTAACAAACGTTAAAATCAGGTAATTAGACGAATTACGATTCTTTGAAATTCGATACTCAAGACAACTTGCTTTTTTTAGGTGTCGAGCCTGCGAAGTACCAACGTTCGAGGATTTGGAGAACGATGAATGGTACAGAATCGTGGTTCCAACTTTCTTGGTTGGCGCTGGCGATGGATACCACCCTTTTACGACCTGCGGGATTAATCACAAAATTGGGGAAACGGATGCGGAACAATTAGCCAATTACGTGAAGAAAATCAGTCCCATTCTAGTCGGTCTGGATCGTCGAGTAACATTCATACACGGGAACGAAATATAGTCTGGTTAAGAATTTTTATTTTTGTATCATTCCATTATTTAGTTGCATGTTTCGAACCGGTTGTAAATTCTTTTAGAATATGTTACATCTTACGAGTAACGAATAATGCAAGTATGGATAAACAAAGTCGTGTTAGAAACATACAATTCCATCCATTTAACGAATCTTTAATTACATCGCATTCGATCCGCCTGTAAAAAGATTCGCTTTTCAGTATTACAAATAAAGATGTAAAAGTTTCTTCGAAATGGGTTTTAGCAGTTAGTTTCTTTAATACGACGCAAGTGGCATAGAATATACCTCATTTGTTTATTTTAAATGAAAGTATACATTATTACGATTAAATACGAACGAATAATGTTTACTTGTCCGCTACGACTCCGATGATAGTATTTTGTTATTAAAAAACAAAATCCTAAATCCAAAATCCTCCATTTCGAAAAATCCTTAATACTAGAAATTAAAGAAAAGTTTGCAACATGTAATTTCCACGTGTTAAAAATGTAAGTTTTAAACGGTTTAGAGATAAGCTCTTTAATTGCGCCCAATCACGTTTCGCGATCGATTTCGCGATCGATTTCGCAAGTTGATAGCGCGAGGGAATTCACAGAAATTTCGAGCAATAGAAATGGCGCCGAAAATCTCGCCCAATGTCGCCAAAAAAGCAGGAAACGCTGGCTGCTTATCTCACGGTATCTTGACATCGCGGCAGGTGAAGCATTTAAATAATATATCGAACAGGTGAAATAGCAGCTGTTCGTCTGCACCGTTGCCCTCCGCCAGGGTGCGTGAACCGCTTTGTAATGCCGCGAGGGCGCTCCTTTTCCAGCCAAAAATTCGCAATCTTCTTCGCCGTGACATTGTTTTCCTTCGCTTTTCAAGAAACCTATCGACGCTGCATCCTTGCTTTCATACATTCATCGCAAGTTTCTTTTCCATTTTTACCGAAAAGTAAGAGTAAAAGTAGTTTTTTATCAACGGGAGTCTTAAGATTTTCGATTTTAAAAAGTTAGTTCGCAAGTGGTCGACTATCTGCTCCTCAAACTCTAACGTCTAAAAAGGTCGACTCAGACTATACGACACGGACCGTCACGTTCCGGCAACGACACGTACCGGGACCGACACGATAAAACATTAAAACACGCATTTTAATGGAACTATTCACACTTAACAGGCTCCGACCTGAACGTTCCGTCAACGGGAATAGTGTGAATAGTTCCATTAACTCTTTGCAGCACAGGAATTCAGGTCATAAAATAGACCCATGTTGCACAGGAATTTTATTGCGTTTTAAATCAAACAAAATTGTTATATTTTTATTAATAAAGGTATCACATAATGTAACAGAATAAATATAATAACAAGGGGCGTCATATTTATAGTTTTAAGAATATTAAAACATAAACAATCAAAATAAAAATATGTTTTTTTTGTATTACTCCCCAAGTTGCATGGTGGAACGAATAAAATCCTACCATACTTTCATCATTTGCAAACAAATTTAATCTTTGACTAATTTTTATATAAATTAACTTACCTCTACGATTGTTCACATAAAACCAGGAAAGAAATATTATCCCAATAAACTTTCCGCTTACAACAATTGTTGAACCGGTATTAGCCTGTTGAAAGTTGCCAACATAAGTGCATACATTTGTAACATTGGATGAATAGATTACCAACTGCTTCATGTAAATAAGACGAAATATAAACCTATACACATGCAGCTATTGCAAAATTTCGAGGTGGGATTAAAAATATCCCACCATGCATTGCGGTCCATCAAAAAGGTGGGACACTTTTAATCCCACCGTGTCCCAAAGAGTTAAAACGCGTGTTTGAATGTTTTGTCGTGTCGGTGCCGGTACGTGTCGTTTCCGGAACATGACGGTCCGTGTCGTATAGTCTGAATCGACCTCTATTCATCCCAGAATTGATATCCCCCGATATTTTCATCATTTCTCAATCTTCATCGATGATGTGCGCGCGAATCAGAAGAACTTCAGCTCGCGAGTTCGAAGCGCGCCGTTCATTGGTTTGAACTCCGCGGTCTTTCGATCTCGACCGTTTCCTTGCGAGAGTTGCGAATCGTGGGAGGAAGAATCGTTCGCGGGGCCGAAGTCTGCGGGAAACCCCAGCGTGAAGGGGTGAGCGAGGTGCAGAAAGAAGGAGAGAGAGAGAGAGAGAGAGGATGAAACCTGGTCAGCGGGGAAAACGGGAGGAAAATTGCAAGCCGGATGAGGAGAGGGAGGATCGCTCGATGGAGAGAACGAGAAAGATTGGTTGAGAAGCCGGGAGCGACGAAGAGGATCGAAGGGTTCCAGGCGTGGGGGGGAAACGCGGATGGCGAAAGAGAGTGGAAACAGCGTCGTGGAGGGAGACGGAGGGGAAGGTGGGTAAGCAGAGAAGGGAGGAAAGGCAGCTGCAAGCAGTCGGTGCAAGGAAGAGACCGTGCGAGGGTAGAGGAAGACGGGAGCAGTGTCATGGTGGCAGGTCTGGCCTGCTGGCTGTCCGTCGACGGTCGACCTGCTCCCTGGCTTACCTGACAGCGCTCGCCTCTCGCCAGTGTTTCCAAAGCCGCGTACACCGATGGATCGTCTCGCGATCCTCTCGTGAGCCCTTTGAGCTCGCCACGCTCGGATGCCACCACGTCATCCCCCTTTTCTTTACTCTACCGCAGCCTGAAGCTGATCCGCAAACGATCGTCGGATATCGGTGGCCCTGTGTCGCGGGAGTCGACAGTCCACCGAACCGTGCACGCAGAGAAACGGCTGATTCCGAACCCGAACCAGCCGCACAGACGGCGAGCAAGAGGGAGGGAAGTGACACGTTGCGATACGATCGATCCAACGGCGAAGTTACGCGCGTTCATACAAACAGCCTCCTCGAGAACCGATCGGGGAACAATGTGCTCGTGACAGAGAACACCAGCTACCCTGGAATAGCTGACGATCTAGCTGACGATCTTTCCAGTTGTTCGATAGGGAACTCTCCTCGCTCTTCGCGGCCTCGTGGAGCACTCTTCGGTGGAAGAGGGCCACGCCGAAGAACACCAAGAACACAGTGAAAAATACCAACGCACCGAGTAGGAAACGGATAAAACGTGGGCGTTGAGTGATTGTTGTCGGTGCTAGTTTCCATCGAGAGTCATGAGAGATACCAACGATATGATGGAGGACGCCCTGTCCGAGGTATGTAATAGCTGATAAATCGGCCCGAGTTTCGTTTACCTCGTGCTCCCGGCTACCACGCTACATGCCGGTGTCACCAGTCACCATCGCCACTGGAACTCGTTCAACTCGCCGTAGCTATTCTGCGGTGAAAGAGAATCCTTCCTCACCACGAGAACATGACGTATCCGTGCGCACGGCCTCACAGATCCAGTGAGCCTCGGATCGCTTACCTCGCGGTGGCCCCCTTGATCCGTTTAAACACCCTCTGGATACAAAGACCAAACTCCTTTTCGCCCAACGAGTTACAGTTTCAGAGTATAACATCGCTGTGGCTCATTCTGAGGCTGGACTCTGTTTCTAAGGCGTACCTAGCAAAACATGAAGAATCTAGCAAACATGAACTTAGAACGCTCTTCGAACAGACTCCGATTACTCTATGAGATTACTCTATAGTTTACTAGCCAAAGCCTTGTGATCGTTCCAATTAACTTTGTCACTGGAGCGCGGGTCACGTAGAAATACGTATTTAGTAGATTTGTGAGAAGTGTTAAGAGATTACGAATCAGCGACGAAGAATTTCTTAATTATTTTTCATAAGTAAATTAAGACCCATGTAAGCTTGAGGTCCAAGCCAATCGACTCGATCTGTCTCACGATCTGTTCATGAATACCAGTTTCCCTTGATAGTTGTATGTACTTTACCCACGAGCCAAAATAAACGCGTGTTGTTGTCAGCTGTGAGGCAACAATGTACCTGCATCGTTCATTATAACAACGATCATCAAGACATTATAAAGTTTCTCGTACGGGACGAATAGAAATTCCTGGACCTAAGCTCGAAGATGCTGTACCTCGTACGGTTAATAAAATCCAGAGCACCCGATATTAAGAGAGCCCCTCTTTTTTCGTCCAGGTTGTATACTCGAAACCTCCATGCAAATGTAACGTTACCTGTTTGTTCTCGGGTTTTACTTACGAGTGAAACTGTAGTAAACGCCCAGGGAATACGGTACTCCGAGTACGAAGCGATTTCGTTTTACAAACGATTTCGCATCGATGTCTCGCGTAATACTCCGAATCGCGAGGATCACCGAATGGCCCGGTTGAGGAGGATTGGAGAGATTACGGGACACTTGGCCTGGAGTGTCGACTCAACTCCGCGATTTAGAAACCGTGCAGCGCACGGTGGCCCGTTTACGGAGGTCCCGTCGTGGAAACGGGCTCTGCCTTGCTCCACGTCCTTTCCCAACTTTGTACTCCAGATTCCACTGGGGACACTTGAAGCGTTATTTGGAACTCGTTTGAGGTTGTAACGATGAGCGATCGTTTATCCTTCGACATCGATCTTTGTAAGTACTCTTGTGGAAAATATGGATCCGCTTTTCTAGACAGAATCTAACCTTGGTTACATATGTAGAGTGTGGATACCTAGAGCCCCCGTAGACTGCAGACTTTCTATACTTAACTTTGTGATTTTAATTCTAATAAAAGACAATTAGTATGGAGGTAATATTTGTGGTTTATCCTACCGTATCGTAACGCTCAATCTCTCCTCCACAGGTCCTGAATCAATCTCCTCCTCTTTCGCTATTGCTGGTCCAATTAATTTGACAAGTTCATTGAAGCTGGTTATGTTCATTCGATAAAAAGCGAAAATGTTTTTCGGGTAATCTAGTAATTTGGAATGCATTGTATAAAACTTTCCTTGCAATAATCTATCACTGTAAATGGGATGTACCCAATACTCTCGGTTTCTCTTATTGATCCTTCTCCTTCGTGAAGCGTTGTATAAAAGCAATAATAACATTTCTGGTTGTTGCAAACAATCCTTTGAGTTACCACCGCCAACAAAATAAAGAATAACGCTTTGTTATCGAAGTATTACATATAAAATCCCGACGATAGTCGAGTTGGTGGAACATAGTTAAATAATTTACAGAAGGTGAGACTTGTAATATGGGTACATATAGTCTTATCTTGCTAGATCCTCTTAATGAATATATCTCAATAACGATGTGGTCAGTAATTGTTATTTTTGTTTAAATGGTTTATAATTTCGAATTTTATAACATATAGTTACGGGAAACTGGGATGCTCAAATTAAATCGAAATAGACTCGTATGATTCGCATTTAATCAGAGAGTAATAGAGTGTAGCTTTGTTAAAATTCTCCATTAAATAAATCGTCGGAACAAGTACATTAAGGGGATATTCTAGTCTAGTTTCGCTTATCCGAAATAAAAAGATCGAGAAACATCTTTATTAATACGAGCGGCGCTAGAACCCAAACCAGAAAAATTAAAAAATATTGAAAATTGAAAAAATTGGAAACATTGTGAACCTTTGATATTAGTTTTGTATTCAATTTTGTATTCAAGTTTGGTTTGAGATCCACTCGTGGTCGCATCTTAGAATTTAACTCTTCGATCGACCAAACATCCCGGATAAACGTGTTACGCTTAAGGTTTATTCGTGAAGCGTTGATCAAATAAAACTTTGCTGCAAATTCCAGTACTTTACTTGTATTCGCCTAAATGCTTTTCGAATTGCTCTTAACGCGCCAACAATGAAACTATAGACTCAATTATTTAGCGATCTTAAAAATAATTCATTTGAAATACGTTCGATGCTTCGACGTCGATTGTCGTGGACTTTCTATACGGAAAAGTGCACTTTCGTTTCGCGGAACGTTTCCAGAAAAAGGTGGCAGAAGCTGCAGCACCTGTACGTGTCACTTACGACAAATTACAGTGTTTGGATTTGACTTGGCCGGTAACGTCGATTGACCGTGTTATTTTGAATTCGATGCACTTTCCCGTTGCGCGAGTTATTAAATTTTGTACTTACGCATCGGTTCACGAATCCATACCATTATCGGTTATGTTCTTCCACGTCTACGTACATTTGCATTCGTTTTACGCTCAGCCACACTCGTCCGTTTCTAGAGCTTCCTTTATGCCCGCGTTTTTATTGGATTTTTCTGCAACAGCTTTGGAAGGAAATATCGATCTCAATTTTATCCTCCGTTACTTTGGGGAAAATGAAAGTGTAATTTCTTAGAAGCTTCTTTTTTCGAATATTCGCAACAATTTTCATACTCTTGAATGAATTGAATTGAATTGAATACTCTTGAATTTTCACTCTTGTTTAACCGTTTCAATTAATCGTCGGTTGCAGCATTTCTTTAACCCTTTATTTACTGAATTTCTCAAAAGTTTTTAAAATTTAAGCGTCCATCTTGGTCTTGTATCATTTTATACAGTTGCCTCTAACAAGCTACCGAAAGAAAAAAAGCTTGTGCTGGCATCCAACAATTAAAAACGAACTTCATAGAACTGGACTTGAAAGTCACAATAGGTCTCAATGCCTTTAATTAATACAGTACCATGAGTAAATTGACGGGACTTATAAATCCCGCCAGTAAATAAAGGGTTAAAGCCTCGTAAGATAGATCGATGAATTCTACTAAAAAAATGCTATCTTATGGATAAAAATAAACAAGGTTTCATTTATAAAAATTCATTCGTTAGATATGTCTGCCCCGCCACTTCACTTACAATAAAATTATATACTCCGTATAATTTGTCCCTTCCAACCAAATAACTTCTGTAAAGGCATTTCTTTTATAGTTTCATCCTTTCGTGTGATATTTAACCATCCCGATTTAAACGAAACACTCTATATATTCGATGTACTATTTCTTTTAACACTTTCGCTGCGGATGACGCACATGTGTGTCCAACTGAAAATATATGGTTGTTTTTATTATTTTTCAGTTTTCATTTGTTTTGTTCAGCAATCATATATATAATATATGCTTTTCAAAATAATCATATTAAAACATTTGTAAGAAATTTTTCATTAAAAAAGATATCATAATTGCAACTCCCAGCGAACGGTTACTTATTTTCGTCCGCAGCGAAAGTGTTAAGTAATTCCTAAACCATTTCAGAGGACGAAACATACTTTTCTACGCGGTGTACCATTTTGGCTGTGTCTCGCTATAGAACATTTGGTTCGAGTCAAAAGGTAGCGTTGCCCGTTAACCTCTGAAACCTGAGAGTTTCTTTTGGTTACCGTTTCGTCGAAAAAGGTAAAAAGCTCGAAGCGCACAGCCTTCGGGAGAAGAGAAAACGCCGAGCACAATAAAGAGCGAAGTGTCTGCGGAATCTTTTTCCGGGGCAGGATGGAAAAGTTTGAGGAAAAAGGGGTTGGCTGGCCGATAAAAATCCGTGTTGGCTGGGACGTTAATTGGATGTCTCTGAGTCTCGATTCGGAAAACGCGGGGGTCCTTCTGTGTCGTGGTTCTCGTTTGTGCATCGCGTCAAGGGAACAAAATGTGTTTGTTATGTCTATAAATAGAATGTTGCCGTTTAGCGGGTAATACTGAAGCATCGATCGCGGGCGCAGAGGAAATGTCGGCCGGCGTATCAGGCTTGCTTGCCGCTAATTAAAACGTTAATGGTACCCGGCGTGTACCAATTAAAGCCGATGCGTTCGCGTCTGGTGTATTAACAGTAATTTCAGTGCATTTAATAATTCTAGAACCATGTTACGAGCTTTTCCGACAAACAAAAACGCCATGCGCCGTCTCTGAAAACTTTTAACCAGTGGTTTACAAACTTTTACGAAGACACCCTCTAAAGAAAAGACAGTTTCTGCGTTTCAAATTTAGAATTAAATTTTTATTTGCGTATCGGTGGAATTTTTGTTAAATACGTGCTTGACCAGATCAATACATCGAATTAATTAATATCAAGTCTGTACTCTGTATTTGTTCCACGATCGGAAAAATTTCTTCATTCCTACGAATTAAACATTAATTCTGATCGTTACGGAGACTCCAGAGAAAGAGATTTCAATCTTGAAAAATTCCGATTCACGGAACTCGTGGAACGTGGAATCCGGAGTTAAATAAATCTTGGATCCGGACCGTTTCTCCAACGCAGAAGGGAAACCATGATTCCCAGCGTCTGTTATTTCTGCTGTAACTCTGTTGAACGTTGGCAATTATTACCGAAGAAACACCGTACTTTGACGTAACGACCTGAAGGGGAATTATGCAAGCGTTTCTCCGATGACAAACTTCGAAAACGCTATTTCATTGGCTCAATTAGCAATTCAATTAACGTGCCGCGAGGCGCTCTATGATTTCGTCGATCCTCGGAAAAACGTGGAACGTTAACGCGAATTCGTAACGGAAAGCAAAGTTTTGCATAACGTCGTCGTCACGCTTCTGTTTCCAACGAGACGTCTCCGTGGAATTAATGGAGGAATTATTCTATTCTCGACGTTTATCTCGCCCGAAACGACTTCAGTGGTTAACTTATTCAGGACTTGCTTGCGCGGATATCTGGATTAATCATCCAACAAATCATCTTTGGTGTCCTTATCCAATTCTTAAAAAATTGTAATCTTCTACTCCGTCGAGGGTAATGACTTTAGAAAGCCGCAACACAATAGATACCGTGCTCGTTATTTATTGGTAAATTATTCAATCGTTTCGATAATTTAGGTCTTTCGCGTCTTTTATTTTTAACGAAATACAGTAAGGTCTCTATAAATGCACAAATATCTCCACCATAAATGCACTGAAGCCATCCTGAGCAGTGTAACATGATCCGGGACAGGGTTATAATACCCATTGAGGGGTCCACGAATTCGATCGCTAAACAGTATAAACATGATCTGGAATCGGATTACCCGGTGAGACAATTTAATCTTCTACTACTATCTACGACTATCTTCTGATTAAAATGATACCAAATACGACGTAATTCGCAACAGTTGTAACAACTCATTATGTATCATATATTGTAGAACACTAACTTAAAAAAAAAAAAAAAATGCATTGTAAATATCGTCCGAATTATATCGTGTTTGGTCTCATTTTAATCAGAAGAATGTCAGGAATATGATGGTAAGGGTTTTACAACAAAAAAGTTAATAATAAAAAAGTTTCACCGTTGCATTAAATTATCTCACCGACGTAGCCTGGTATTTTCGCTCCGTCCTCTTCCTTTATTCGCTGTTCTTCTCTACGTTCGAAGCTCGTCGGCAAATATCAGAGAATATACAAAGTCTACCATAAATGCACTAGTTCAGTCCCGAGTTCGTGCATTTATGGGGACTTTAGAGATGTTGCAGAATATTTCTTATTAACCTTCACAGTGTTTTTTCATTGCTATTTTTGCGCATATTTTGCTTAAATAATTGTTTTCTTCGATTAAAATAGTATGGAAGCGATGTGTCCCAAAGTATCATCACTACATATACGTCTTTGTTACCTTTAGCTGAAATTGTCAGAATGTCAGAATTGTCAGAAGTTTCCTTTGAGGAAACAATTTCC